AACGCAGAATAAAAAGTGAAAACGAAACGCCACTTTTGCGTTTTCTCTTCAGATCGTTTCCGTGTAAACATGGCCTTAGTCTTAGCGCGCTAGGAAGACTCTTGGGTATAACTTAACTAAAGGTTAAACCATTGCTAGGCGTCTTCAGGGTAGATGTGAATTGGTTATCCAATCAGCTGCTGCTGCTGGTCAAATCATGTCAATCATTTTCATTTACGTCACTGCTATATTGCTGGACGGCATAGTGGCAGAATGGCTGAAAGAAAGCATGAAAGTGGAGCACAAAAACGTAAATTACTAAAGTTGAGAACAACAGGTCCAAGATATATTGAAAAAAAATCCTAAATTGACTGGATATTTCAAAGCTGTTGAATCTTCATCCAGTCGAAGACAAGATCCACCCCAGACTGCCGGAACGGAGCTAGCTGAAACGCCTGCAGCTAGCTCATCATGTTATCGGTAATATTTCAGGGAATTTGGGGAGTTATTCCACAATGCAGTGTCTCCTCTATGTTTATTTTATTATGGCGGTGCGCAATGGCAAAATTTCTTCCGCCTCGTTTTTTATTTTTGTTAAAATGTTCGCTTTCTTCCGAGTCGACTATGAAACGAACAGCTCGCGGGACGATTCGGGTGCTAGGCGTCTTCAGGGCTATCATCCACTCGCGAGGCAGAGGCGCTTAGAGGCAGAGGCGCTGGCGCCCTCCTAGCAACGGCGATTCGGGTTCGCGCTTAAAAACGGCACTGCGTCCGCGGGAGATGGCTTTAAAAAACGCAGACACCAAAATCAAGACATAAATAACTATGGCTAACATTACATCGAGGCTCGAAATTAACATGCTCGAAATCAAAGCCATTTTGGTCGCATATGCTCCTGAAATATAATCTGTGCGACCTAAAAATATATTTGGGTGCTGAGTCTACTACGCGAAATTTAAAAGGCTGATTTGACTTTTACTTAACTGACAGGACAGCTGTTTCGGTGGTTGCCTAGCAACATAAAAAACGCAGCGCACTGCTCGTTCTGTGTTATCGAACCTGAACAATGCGTGTGATCGGCTCCATAAGAAGATGAAACGAACGTGTTAGCTGTCTCAATGTGTGTGTATGCCAGTTCACCGTAGTTGCGTATGGACCATATATGGCACTAAATAAATTTTTAGTGAGGGGGGGGCTCACACAAAGAGCAGCCTAGGGGCCCCTGACAACCTTAAAGGGGTCATATAATGGTACATGCACTTTTTCAAGTTGATTGTACTGAAATGTGTGTTGGCAGTGCCTGTACACAACCATCATATAATGATAAAAATCCATCCAGTGTTTTTGTTTTAATCTCCTTATATGTTTTCCCCTGTCTCAAATCGAGCCGTTCGACCGTGTGACGTCACACGGTCGGACGCCCCTCCCGCGATTGTTGATTGACAGCCGGGTTTCAACACAGACCCGCCCTCGCTCGTGAGCCAGCTGTCAATCATAGTCCGCGCTCATTGTTGATATGCTGGAGCACTGTCTATGAGCACAATGGCGTCTAAGCGATTGGTGTTCTGTTCTTGGGTGCAATAACGAACACAGCAGTCATTTTGATGTTCCTAAATCCGAACCGCTGAAGACGCAGTGGCTGTATTTGTTTTCGAAGGGAATATTCCCCACAAGCAACGTCAATGCTTTCATGTTTGCGCAAATCATTTCTCACCAGACTGCTTTATAAACTAGGGTCAGTATGAGCAGTATGAGTTTTGCTAAGAAGCTGCTCATGAAAAAAGGATCGGTACCAGATATTCGTGTTCCTGCTGAATCTCCAGAAGAACGGAAGTGAGTGTAACGTTTTATTAAACTTTATATTAATATATTAATCTTTGCAAATCGCTTGCACGGTTCACGATGAATGAGTCTAAGGTTTACACTCAGGGTACATTACGGCATGTTTTCTATGTACGACGTTCTCAATATAATTCATAATCCCACGTTTATAATGAACAACGTGTTATGGTTATTGTGTTATTGTGTTACAAACGTGTACGCACAGAACAGAGAGGCGGGGTGAGCAAAGCTCATTATCATTTAAAGTCATATGCACTGAAACGGCGTGCTGAAAACATGGCTGTTTTTGACCAGGTAAAATAACTGTTTTCTTACAATACTAATGAGAATTTTTTATTAAAGTATATTACAAACTTTTAATTTAGACCCTAAAGAATCATATTAGCTTGTACAAAAATGGCATTATATGACCCCTTCAATCCGCCCCTGAACGTCACAATCCCAACTGCCAAATGTAACTGTCCCTGGCAGTTACATTTTTTAAAACTGTTATGAAACAATTTTGCTCTCTTTTTTTCCGCACTGTCAAGGTGCAGAAATAGTTCCATAAAATCTATCAGAAATTGTATTTTCATAACATTAATTTTTGCTGCTTTATACTTGCTGCTTCTATAACTACAGTATTCCTCTATCAAATGGTTAGTCTGCAGATGCAACAAAACAGTATCTGTATTGTGTCAGTCCCACTAATCTCTACTCACAGACAGCCTTATTGCTGCTTGCTCCTTCAATCCTTATTATATAAATTCTCTAGACATCTAATGTCATGATGCATCCAGGATGAAAAAGTGAAATCCCTTATTTTTTATTTTATTAAATTTTTAAAATTTATTTCCCCTATTTTCCTGCTGCATCGATTTTCTTTCACTACTTTCAGCCTATAGTGACACTTAAAGTTCATTCTCTAGGAAAATCATAGTATTTGATTAACCCTTCAATACATTGATACATACATACATACATTACTCTCCTCATCTGACAAAACACCTGTGTATCATATTTTTCACAGCTGCTTGATTTACTGTGAGATTTTCCCATTCTGATATACTGTGTCTGTGGAGTTCTTTCGTCTCGCCTCAGTAATCTATTGGACGTCTCCAGTAGACCCTACATTTTTCCCTAAAATCTGGAAAAACCTCGGGTTCACTTCCCCACCAGTCTGCACCCCAAAGATTTGGGGAGGTGACGGAGGTGAATGGAATCTATCCAGTCTGCACCCCACATGAACAGATTTGGTCCCCGATCTCGAGTTTAATTACACGTTAAACTCACTACTCTACCACAGACCCAGTCATCAACATGGTTTAATATCTCAATTTCCCCAATTCATTTTTACAATAATTTATGTTTGTCTCTTACCCAGTTCTCAGTGCCACTTGAGTTCTTTTTCCGATTCCAGTGGTGTTTCTCCTGGACTCTCAATCTATTCGGGGAAGGGCTGAATCTCTCGATTGATCAGGATGATCAGTCACCGTCCGCTCTCGGATTTAAAAGGCACATTCAAGGAATCCCACTTCTGACACCAAGTTGTTGTGGCAAATAAACAATAAACAATTCTGAATCTGCTAGTGATTATAATGGTTTATTTCTTGCAAAAAAGAAGGCACACAGTCACACAGTCAGTCAGCAGAATGTGAGAGTGCACGTGCGGAGGGGAGGCTCCCTCTCTCTTTTATATCTCTACTCATAACAAATAACATAGGGCCATAGCCCAGGCTCATAGCCAATTGAACCTTTATTAGGAAAATACATTATTTCTTATAGGAAAATATCATTAATCCAATAAAACAACGAATAAAAACAATTTGACAGTACCCTTAGTTTTTTGACAACACCCCAGCCATAAGTCTTTTTGGGTATGATGCGACAAAATTTGCGCATCTGCATTTGGTGATTTTCTGCCATCCACCCCCCTTAGATCCTCTCAAGCTCTGTCAGGTTGGATGGGGACCTTCGGTGGACTGCCATTTTCAGGTTTCTTAAGAGATGTTCGATTGGGTTCAAGTCTAGGCTCTGGCTGGGCCACTCAAGGACATTCACAGAGTAGTCCATATAAGACACTCTTGCGTTGTCTTAGCTGTGTGCTTAGGGTCATTGTCCTGTTAGAAGGTGAACCTTCTGCCCAGTCTGAGGTTCTACCCCAGACTTCATTAAGGCCATCTCTATATTTTGCTGCGTTAAGCTTTCCTTCTACCCTGACAAGTTCCCCAGTCCCTGCCACTGGAACACACCCTCACAGCATGATGCTGCTGCTACCAGCACAGAGCACACATTACTGTTGGGATTGTGCTGGTTTCCTCAAGACATGATGCTTGGAACTGAGGTTCATCAGACCAGAGAGTCCTTTAGGTGTTTTTTTTTTTTTTTTTTTTTTACTTTGTGGCTTGGTTTTTGCATTTTCAGCTGTTAGACCTTTTATTGAAAAGTGTGTGCCTTTCCAAATCATACCCATTCAATTGAATTTGCAGAGGTTAACTCCACTCAAAGTGTAGTAATGTCTGCAAGCGAAACTGAAATGCTCCTGAGCTAAATTTCATGTGTCCTAGAAAAAGGTATGAATACATATGCAATGCGATCATTTCAGTTTTTCCTTTTTAATAAATTTGCAAAGTTGTCACAAAACTGTTGTTTTGCATTGTCTTTATGGTGTATGGAGTATAGATTGATGTGAAAATAAGTAATTTAAAGTAGTTAAATTACCGCATTCATTGCAAAATATGAAAAAATATGGAGTTCGAATACTTTCGCAAGGCACTGCATTGCAAAGTAAATGCAATATATAATACTTAATATATTTTAAAAGGCCTGCTTTGTGGTTTCAACTGCCTCAAATATTATTAACAGGGTACATTATTACTGAGATTATAGTTGTTAAATGCTTTGAAATGTTTCCTGCAGTTAAATGCATAAAGAACTGGGAAGATAACATTCAAAGTGGAGATGTAGATCATGGAAACAAGAAATATATTCCTATGGAATGGGTCTCTTTTCCCCCCACATGGATGGCCCTTGTATCTTTCCTTATTTTCATATTATCTTATCAAACTTTGACAATCCATGACCGCATTTGAAGCACGGATTGAACCTATATCTTGTTTGCTCACCAAAATAAAAAAAATAAAAAAAGTACCTTTTCACTTAGACCTTAAATACATTAATCAGGAAAAAAGGCCACTGTACATGATTATAGGAAGACTGTTTATTTAACAATAAGCACTTATGGCATTCTCTGATAATCTTTTGTCATAATCATTGGTGTTATCCAAATCAAAACCACAACAAGAAATACTTTCATACATGTAGTGCATTTTGTAGTTATTAGGAGGACAAAACCTCTAAAGTGACAAAGTCATGGAATGTCGAGGAAAGCAACAGTACACAACAAATAAAGTGTGAATACATATAAATAGGTGACAGGCCTTCTTATGCAATATTACAGTAACACAGCATTTAATAATTAAGGCTAATCGCTAAATGTGTTATACATTTGTAATTATTGCATTCTCAAATTTGACAGCAAAATGTCATCCGAAAAAACTTGTAATGTACAGCTTTCATCGTTCCAGAGGAACTACGCAGATTTTAGCAGCACTGCTCAGTCAGAACCAGTTAGATTCCAGTCTTTGATTCATTGTTGTTCGTGGACTCCTTCCGTTGAGCCAGAAAGGGGTACATGCACTTATCCGCACCAATAAATCTGTACATGCACACAATGGCATCAAACGGCAAAATGCTGCAAGATATGAGAGATTATAGACCATTATACGTACACAGATTAAATAAAACAAGAATATTATGACATATTACACTAACTTACGTTTTCATGAAGGTGACCATGTACATGATTCGTGGTGTGCAGATCATTGCTTGGTCTGTTAATATGGCTCTCATGGCCTGTTTTACACAGTACTCTGGCTTTAGCGCTGGGAAAAGTGGAGCCATTTCTTTCCTGTTTAAAAAGATTGTAAGGTAACAATTATAATTAGAACACGTCTTATCATCAGAAGTTAATTAAAGATATTTAGTTAAACACAAACCTAATTTTGCAGCCTTTGAACATGCCAGTGTCAACTAAAAAAGGACAGACAAGCGTCATCTTTATTCCATCCTTATCAGCTGCTTTCAGTTCATGGCTCAAAGACTCATGGAAGCCTATGGCTCCAAACTTGCTTGCACAATAGTCCTACAACAAAGAGGAAAAACGTGGGTTACTGAACTTCAAAAGCATCTTTGCAACACAGTACATTACACTACATAAGAGTTTGTTTTTTTACCTCCACACCAGCAGTAGTGAACAAGCCCAATGAACTAGCAACAGTTACAATGTGTCCGTGATTCCGCTCCAGCATCTTGGGAAGAAAAGCTTTCGTAGTCTGTGAATATAAACATATATAAAATCAAAAGATGAACACAAATTATCAAGTGTGAATAAAGACTGCAAAACTGGACATTAATGGTACCGATCAAAGCCTCATACTGACCCAGAAGTGAGCATGGCAGTTGACCATCATAGTCCTTTCAATAAGCTCGTCTGGACACTCAAGAAGATGACGTCCTGAGACAACTCCAGCATTATTGATCAACAGGTCGATGTTGCCCACCTCTTTGCGCACCTTCTCTGCAGTTGAATACACACTCTCGCGTTTACTAACGTCACAAAAATATGTGTAAACTTTCAGCTGGAACAGAGGCAACTCTTGAACACTATCTGAAGACCCTGAAAAAAATGAGAGAATAGATTTGATAACAGAACAGTATTGCAAACATTTAACCCCTCCAGTAATAGTTAACATTTGAGTCTAAAAAGGTTGTTGATGCTTTCCCCATAAGTGTTAACGCAAAATAAAACCACAAAATAAATTACAAAATGACTCTTAATATAGGATATTAGTATTACTAACCAACTGAACAAAACGCTGTAAATTCCCATCAGTTACAAGTATAAAACACACTTTAATAAAGTCTAAAACTTTTTAGAAAAGTAATTTGGTTTGTTTTATTTGGTTATACTTTTCCTGGGAAATTCTGGGATTAAAGTTGTTAAGAAAAAAGCATGAACATGAACTAACACTTCTAAAGCACTTATTCAGCTTTCTCAATCATTTTCAAATACATTATTATAATCAAAAGTTATTAATTAAAGAACTTGAGCTCACACGAATAGTATAAATATTTTTATTAACTAACGTCAACTAAGACTAATAAACACAGTAACAAATGTAATTGCAGTAACTAATATTAATTAATTCTACCGTATTACAATAAAGAATCTTGTGAAAGACTAAAAAAAAAAAATTGGGGAAGAAAGGGTCGTTTACTAAACTCACCAGCGGAGGGGTTCATTTCTCGGTAAATTTCACGCACTATCTCAGCGGTCTCTTCGTTAGCCTGTCGGTTAATGTCCCACAAAACAAGGATCGCTCGTCTCCGGGCAAACTCCAATGCAAAGAACCGCCCGAGACCGCTTCCTGCACCGGTGATAACACACACCTGACCCTCTACACTCTTGTCCCGTGGACGAATAAACCATTTACCACCGGCCAGCACAAACGACCAGATTATTTTAAAAGTGACCACGAATAATTCAGTGACGATATTCATGATGTGCGCGTGCCGCTGAGCTTCCATTCTAACGATTCGCCATTCGCCGAACTAAACAGCAAAGATAGAAATCAAACTGCAGATGTGCTATAAAATAAATAAGTAAGTAAAAAACCGTCGAGGAGTAAACAAAAATTGGAACCCTCAGCTTCCACGACGGGATGAAATCTGCTCATACCAGTATGTTTTCGTGTCTCTTTAAATAGGATCGAACTCACTTGACTTCATAACTTTCCACGCGTGTGTCCGCCTGCTATGCAAAGTAGTCATAACTTTTGCGTCATATCTATATGGATTGTTACCAGCCTATCTACTTCACAACATAATGTATTTTAAGAATAAAATATCAATTCAACCAGAACGTCTCTTCAACGTAAAATAAATACGGTATTCTTTTTTTTTATGCAGGCAGTATATCTAGAGACCTAATACTTAACCGGAAGTATGAAGGACCTATGTTATAAGACCTCACCGCGCATGCGTAGAAGCCTCTTTTACTGTGGGGATAATGGCGGGTGAAGCGTAAGTTGGAAACCGTGCTATTTGAATCTTCTTCCATCGGTTTAAATATAGCTCATACGATATTGTTCGGAGTCTAAATGAGCAATATGTGTATGTTTAAGTGCTATGAAGGGGAAATTGGAAGTATCGGGGAATGATGAATCAATAAAATTTCATATGAATGTCGTGTAGTCTGCCGGGTGGAATCGGTTGAGCAACGTGTGGAAAAGCAGTTAATATAGTAACATTAAAACGTGCCCGAATAAGTATTTCTGTACCAACATATCCAAATGTGCTCTGGAGTTATGGAATAGTCTTTGATCTAATATATATTTATTGTCATTAGCTGCTAACTTGAGGCAAAGGCATGATGCTAGCGGTACTCTGCTATTATTTTTATGAATTCAAGTTTTAGTCTAAGGTTTACCTGTCATATATAGTGTGTGTATGTATGTTTATATATACATATATATATATATATATATATATATATATATATACATATATATATATATATATATATATATATATTAACTGTGCTTTTTTAACGTCAAGTAGCTGTCATGATAACCTGGTCTGCAGGCCTAATGTGATTACTAGGGAAAAGACAAATGTGCTACCATTTCTCATCAGAAAGAAGAAGGTTCCCTCAGTCCCCGAAAGCCTCTTGAAGAGGCGACAGCGATTTGCTGCCATCAGGGCCGTGCGTCTGAAGAAGGCGATGGCTGACAAGAAGGTTTGTGGTTTAGACTTTACGTGCTAGCTTTGTTTATAAACAGTGGTCAAGATAATCTAATGATAAAGCATCAACATAGAGGCCAAATTGAGAATGTATGTCTTCTCTCACATATTAGGCCCACAAAGTCACCAGGAAGCTCATCTTCAAGAGAGCTGAAGCTTACCACAAGGAATACAGGGAGATGTACAGGCGTGAAATCCGCATGAGTAGGATGGCTCGCAAGGCAGGCAACTACTATGTCCCAGCTGAGCCCAAACTGGCTTTTGTGGTCAGGATCAGAGGGTAAATTTTCTACTTTCAAATGATCTGCCATGCTGTAGGCAGACTTCACAGATTGTGGTTAATGATGTTGCTCTTTTTTCCCCGTCTTATCGACCATGGTGATTCCTCTTGAAAATAAGCCAAATCTTCTGAAACCACCACTACATAGTACTACTTTTAGTGAAACTGTCTTGTCTTTTGAAAGTTGTTGATGGGATACCTTGTCTATCCTCAGTATCAATGGTGTCAGCCCCAAAGTCCGCAAGGTGCTTCAGCTGCTCCGTCTCCGCCAGATCTTCAATGGTGTCTTTGTCAAACTGAACAAGGCCTCCATCAACATGCTCCGAATTGCAGAGCCCTACATTGCCTGGGGGTATGTAAAGCTGTGTTTTGGGTCGAACCTAAAAATTGTGAATGTCCACAGTGTATTTACAGCCGTCTTATGGTTGAAGGTACACTACCATTTGAAAGCTTAAAGGGCATATTGCAGGTTAGAGGACCCAACGAGTCAATGTATAGAAAAATAATGTAGGAACTAGATTTTCTTTAAAATATACTTATAAATACGCTACAGAAGCTTCTGGAGTCGTTTTTGTGAGAAAATCTTACTTCCGCGTCTGAAAATGGGCGTGACGTAACGGGCGGGAGAGCGGTCGATTCAAACAACAGGAAAACAATGGATCGCAATGACATTTCGGACGCTGAGGAAGTACTTACTCGTATGACGGACCACAGCCGTACAATTATGAGCCTGCTATGCTGCCAAGAGAGTAGGGACAGGCCAGTATTAATGTTAGACAGAACGGTCAGTGACACCATGAGTTGTGGTGTGAGAACCAGTAGAGAACAGGACAGGTGTCTTGGTGAGAGACGTGCTTATAGATGTACACGTTCGCTAACGATATACACTGTGCTCACAATATTGTACAGATTATTACCATCGTATATCAGGCCAGCAGACATTAGTATTTTTAGGGTAGATTTATACTATTAAATGTATAAACTATACTTGGGTATGTTTTTAGTACAATAGAAATATACTCAAGTACAATTTTAATACATATTTTTCACCTGGGTTATAACATAAACAGAAAATTAAAGATTTGAATATTTAAACAACCTGAGTAATTTTGTTTTTCAATTACAAGTTGCCTCTATTTAGGGCATGACTACCTATATCACACTATTTCATGCCATTGGTACTAGACGATCAATATTCTTGCTTCGGCATCCCATGTTGAACTCCATCATATCGCCGGGATGATAATCCTCCGATCTGAAGTGAACGCTACACACGACCGCGTTTCTCGAAGCAGATGCGGAAGAGAAATCCCGTCTCTTCACCTGCACAAACCGCAGGCATGAAAGATATACAGCACCGTCCCTTTTCTTGTTATGGAAACCTGTGGACTCGATGTCCTGACAGGCCGGAGTTTTTGCAACCTCCACAAACAATAATTTACCATGACGATGATAAATTAAAATACAAAAACTACCTAAAACACACTGACACACGGCCGCTCTCACTGAATACCAGCTACTTTGCACTGAGCTGAGGCTCCCTAGCGTGACGTAAAATGACGCGATTTTGAAATAAAAAGCCGTTTTTACGAGCAGTCCAAGAAACGCTCACTTTATCTACTAAATTAGTGCCCTTATGTCGTTTTAAAACATTTTAAATCCTGCATTAACTTTTCATATGGTATTTTCATACAAGGTTATATATTAATTTAGATTTTTTTTTTTACCTGCAATATGCTCTTTAAGGTCAGTAAATTTGTATGCTTTGTTTGATGCCTTGGTGAGCATAAGAGTCTTCTAAAAACAATCTTACCAACCTCAAAATTTTGAACATTAGTGTATACTTGGCTCAAAAAGGAAGTTTCTCATGTTGTTCCAAACCAATAGGACTTTTTTTTTTTTGTAGAAAAGAATAGTTGTAGAATGTACTGGCTTCCCTTTTATATAATTAAGAGAATGGGGACTCGGTCTTCCAGAGTCTAAATTTTAGAGAGCTTTGATTTGTCATTACATCATTATATGACCAGTTGGCTTTGACATCAGATCTAACATTGACCCAATAAAGGTGTCATAATTTGAATGCATTTTCTGTTTCTTGCTCAAAGCTATTGTTGGCTTCAGATGATTTTAAATAGTGCATAATATGAAAATCAATCATATGGGCTACTTTTTTGGTGGTGATTTGTCTTGTCATTCCCCTTTTACTTTCATTATATGGTAAAGAGTGGCTGTTATCTCGATACTTTTGTGTTCAGTGGAAGACAACACAACAGTTCACCCAAAGCTAAAAATTCTGTCATCAGTTACTTCACGTCTTTCCAAACCCATGACATTTGTTCATCTTTGGAACATGAATATATTTTTTTAATGTTTATGTGAATAAAAGCTCAGTTTAATCAAAGTCTTCTGAAGAGATGTTCGTTTTATGATGAACAGATTTGTCATTAAACAATCATGTCTCACAGAGGACTTGGATTAAATCACTTAGTTCATATAGTTTTATTTTACGATCTCTTTATAAACATTTGAACTGTCAAGTGTTCTGGATAAATAGACTTTCATAAAAAATATCTTCATTTGTGTTTTGAAGATGAACGAAAGTCTTATAGGTTTGGAATGACATGTAATTGACCTTTTTAACTTTTGGCTGAACTATCCTTAAAGGTTCTGCCAAATCTTATGTATAATGTAATGTGTGCCATGGTACAATGGCTGAATTTGGAACCGCATATCACTCTTACCATTTTTGTCATGGAAAAATATTGTGAAATTAATAAGAGTGGTTCCGAATACAGCAACCGTCTCTTAAATGTATTGTGAACTTTACCTGCTTGCTGAAGTCCCGTTTTGCTTTTTCAGCTACCCCAACCTTAAATCTGTGCGTGAGCTCATCTACAAGCGTGGATTCGGCAAGATCAAAAAGCAGCGCATTGGACTGACAGACAACTCCCTTATCGAGAAGACCCTTGGTAAGACCAGGCAGTGCACACCATGATTGAACACTAGGTATTGCAGTAGTGGCATTTTAGGATTCAGTACCATGATTTGCATATATCCAGGTCAGTGTGGAATCATCTGCGTTGAGGATCTCATTCATGAAATCTACACTGTTGGAAAGAACTTCAAGGCTGCAAACAACTTCCTCTGGCCATTCAAACTGTCCTCTCCTCGTGGTGGTATGAACAAGAAGACCACCCACTTTGTCGAGGGAGGTGATGCAGGAAATAGGGAGGACCAGATCAACAGACTCATCAGGAGAATGAACTAAGAACATTAGGTGAGCACCTGACTGAAACGCATGCCCAGTTCTTTTTAAGTTTGACAATTATTTATTTGCATTTAACTTGTCCTTGCATATCATACCAACAATGTGTGTGATTCAGGTTATTAGTAGATTGAAGAAAAAAGTGTTACCAGAGTGATGTTTGTTATGGAATAGCTGTTACATTCGCTATAATTCATGGTAGTGTTGGTAGTATCATTGTTAATTTGTGTACTTTG